CGCCGCGCTGCGCCCTGCCTTGTTTTGCCTCGGGAGTTTAACTTTGCTTTCCTTCTTAACTGGGCTTTACTTCTTTAGTTTCTGTTTTATTTAAGTCAGTTTTGCCGTCAGAAGGTGCTTATCCCGTGCTAGTTAGCGACTGTAGCTTGAGGTATCCTGGTGTATTACGGCCAGGGAGCAACACCCRTGTGCTTTTACTGCTTTAAAACATACACCTGCTGCAAACCTTCCTCTGAGGAAGGAGAAGCCCCTTCCTCTGAAGATGGGCAAGAGGAGAAAGAATCTATACCAAAGAGCAACACTCAAGAGTAATAACTCTTTTGTCGCACAAAAACAACACCAGGGAAGGCTTTTAAATGAATAATACACACTTCACACGTCTCAAACCCTGTCACAAGGGAGAATGTGCAGCAGGGATTGCTTGCACGCATGATGCCTGTGCACAAGCTGCAAAGCTGGCTGCTCCGAAGCGGCTCCGGGGCTGCTGAGCGCGATGGGTATTGCCAACCTTGCATGTGTTTGTGGGACCTGGGGCCGTGCAAAGTGCAGAGGAGCTGCCCGCGCTTTCGTGCCAGCAAAGCCAGTTTCCTGATGGGCTCAAGGAAGGTACAGCTGGTACTCTGAGAAATGTAATCTTAGTTTAAAATCTCTTTATAAAGTTAATGACTATGTAAGCTCTGGTAAAACGAGACATCATTAAACTCTGTAGTATGAATGCTCACAAGAGCCTTCCTGATTGTAATCTGGGGAGCAAGTGAGCACTCAGAAATATCCTATTTTGGAAGGGCAAGAGACAGGGATAAGAAATCTCCCTCGATAGGCATGCATATGGCCAAAGCAATGACCACAGTGCTGCAGGGTGCCATGAGCTGCATGAGGAACCCCTCAAGTAAGGTCCCTTCACCTCCTAGCCCCCAAATGGGAGCAATTTCTTGCACCTGCTAAAGGTGAGAGCAAAGTGTTGCCACCTGGCTGTGGGTGGAGGGTGGTGGGGAAGAGGGCGAGTGAGGTGCTGGATCCGTCTGCAGGGACCCAGCTGGCTTGAGCTTGATGGGTGCAGGTGGCCAAAGATTTGTGGGAAAGCAATGAAGATGTGGAGAGTGTGGGTGTAGGAAGGAAGCAGTGGTGGCTCTGCTCTCCTGGGTGAGTTAGGTGCAGCTTTTCTGCCAGGCTCCTTTTGTGGGGAGCAGAGCTCAGGTTGCATGTTTAGGTCTATCACTTGCAGCACTTGGCTTCTGAGCAGGTATGGTTTGTAGAGCGCTGCCTGCGGGAGGGGAAAAAAAAGCATTTGGTTTAGGTGGGATTGTGTGGGTTTGTTTTTCTGCTAATAGGTCATTTCTTTTTCAAGGAGAAGAAAAAAAGTTTATTCTTTGAAGGGAAATCCCTGCTTTCAACTTGTGCTCCTTTTAAATGTGTTTTCTTTGGAAATGATGAAGTTTTTTTTATAACTCTCCTAGCATTTTTGTTTGTTTGTTTTTTTCACTCGTCTGAAATTTATTTGAAAATGCCTGGGAATCATCTGAAGGTTTCTAAAGCACACTCTAGAAATTACTTTAAAAAAAAAAAAAAAATAAGAAAAACCTTTGGAAGTGGCGTTATTTCTCTCCGTTTTTGTTTCTCCCAAGGCAGCCGCAGGCAAAGCTGGTTTCCATTCACAGCGCAGCCGCACCGTGAATTTTATGTTTGGCAAAGCCCAGCGCCCTCCCCCTTTTCTCCTCGCCTTCCCCCCTTGAAAAGAGCCGGCGCCGGGTTTAAAAGTTGATTTCAGCTTTGATTGTGTGCGTGTGCCATGCGAATGCTAAGCAGCCTCCGCGCCACGGCCCTGGGATGAGCCAAGGAATGCAGACTTTGGCCGCGCGCTCCCTTGCCGTCTGTCTGCCTTTTATTATAGCCCTCTTTTTTTTTCCCCCCCTTTCTTTCTTTCTTGCTTTCTAGCTTGCTTGCTTTAGAGCTTTTCAGCAATTAGTGTAGCCGGGTTGTGTTTGGGTGAGAGGAGAGGGCCTAGGGGTGCTTTTATTTACAAGCCAGTTGAGAAGCGAATGAAACAGCGCTACAGGCAGTAGATGAAAGAGCCCCGCTGTAACTCTGGCACGTTTGGAGCCACTTTGTGCAGCAAAACCAGGGCTGTTCTGTGAGAGCAACGCACTGCCTCCCTGGCCACCTGCAGCTGGACGCATGGAGGACTTCCCAACAGCCGGGGCTATTTACAGGCCCCTGCCCGTGGTGTTTTAGGCCATGTAACTCCTTCTCGTGCTCTGGTTGATCATCAGGGATGGGGCAGGGAGTCCTGGTGTGGAGCTGAGGTCCCCTGTGGTTTTTGCACCCAATTTGGAAGGGAAGATTGGGAGGGAGGATCTTCTACTCCTTGGGAGGTAGGAGGGCCTCCAAACGTGTTGTGAGCAACCCTTCTTCAAAGCATAGGGGTGTCCGCTCTCTGACAAAGAGCTCCTCTCGTCCCAAACTGTTCCTGAAGCCACGGAGTTAAACAAGCATTGTAAAACCCCTTTCCAATTGCCGCCACTGCAACAAGCACATATGCCCCAGGTCCGTTCACTGTGGTATGACTCGGATGTGCATCCAATATACCTTCCTGAACCAGGCTCCAACCTCCTAACGTCGTGGGCTTAATGTCTCTGTGGCTATTCGTGTGTCTTGGTTATCCACAGTAGCTGTTATGAATCCCATTAGATTTATTCATCTCATAAAAAGGGTATATGCATGAAGAAGCAGATATTTTTAAGGTGCATTTGTTCTGGTACCTAACACAGGATTTATTAATGTGTGAGAGAGGAAGAACAGCTATACGCTCCCTTTCTTAAGGCAAGYAACCCTGCAGTGGGAGAAAGAGCATATCCGAAGCAAGAGACTGACCAGGAACAGGCACTTGCTACCACCCTAGATAAGACACGTATTAAAATCCAGGTGTTCAGAGTTTGAAAGCTTTGTGAGGCGGTTAATATGCTCATTTTTATGGTTGGAGTTGAACGGAAATGGAGTATCTTCTAGCGAGAGGAGCACTTCAAAGGTGAGTTGAGAGTGATTTAGTGACCCTTCAGGTGGTTCTGCAGTAAGGTGCAAGGTCCTGGACCTCCGGGACCAGAAGGCCTTGTAGAAGAGGGAAGAGATTGTCCATCTCTTCCATATAGCACTGAGCATCTCTGGGTATTCTGCTGAGCTTTGTGCCTGAAATCATGGTTTCTCCACTCTCTTCCCAAAGCAAGAAATGTGTTCAGTGTTGAGCATGCTTTGGAGTTTTGCTTGCTTATAATAAGTAGTTGTGTATGCACATTAGTCAAATACCATATTTAGAGGTCAAAGAAATGTCACACTGCAGAACATGGCAGCTGGTAACAGGCTGGGATGTGGCAGCAGAAGCACCTAAGGGGATGCCTTGGTGAGCCTTGAGCTGCCCACAAGCCTTTCCTGGAGATAGGAAAAGCCGTGTGGAATTGCACTGAGCAATTAGGAGCCAGGGACTTGCCTGTGCATTGCTGCCAGAGGAACTCTTGGCCCCTGGTGGTGCTCCTCGCCTTCCAGTGGATAATCTTCAGCTCTTATTTCTCTGATTTCTCGGGAGGGATGGAAAACTCTGCTTTCAGCCYGCTTTCGTGGCTTGTGCTAGCCTGTGGGGACCTCTAGCGTGAGATGTGATCGGCACAGGATTTTCTGGGGTGCTGTGTGTTAGAGCCTCTTGCAGGCTTTCATTTCACAACCTTAAATACCTCCGTGGATCAGCCCCTATTGCATTAATACTAGTGAYCCAGTCGAACTGTAATTCCCCTCACTGCTCATAGCTGTCTCTGCTGGAAACTCTCCTCACTGTAGTCCTTCCCATCTTTCTGATCCTTCTAGGACCGGTTTTCAGTTTATCTGGCTCTTTTCATGCAATGTTGGAGCATGGAGAGCATCCCTGCGGTGGAGAGCCRCTTTCGCTTGTGTCTCAGGAGGTTGCCCTGAGGCGTTTTGCAAGAAAGCTCACTCTTTCCTGGGTCCATCATGCTGCTTCCTGTGCAACGTGGCTTGGTCTGGCTCATCTTCTCTTGCTTCTTTGTGCTTCACAAAGTGCTTCTTCCTTCCCCCCCCACTTTCTTTTTCTTTTGTTCTTCTTCTATATCGTAGCTAGTGTTGTTTTGAGATGTTTTTTGCTTTTTTTCTTTCCCCTTTTCTGCCTTTGCCATTTTGGAGGAGTGTGGCTCATTCTCCATTACTCTGCTTCATCTCTTTCTAGCTCTGAAGCTAAGGATTATTAAGGCACTCGGCCTCTGACTGTAGCAGAGGCTGTTTGAGATCTGCTAGGGAAACATGTCCAGCACGCTGTTGTATTTGAAGTGCATGTTTCTGCTGAGAGCATCTCCATGAAGATGGCACCGTAATGTTCATGGCTGTGTTCTCATGTTGGCTTGTTCTCAAGGAAAATCCACAGTGCAGTTTATTTTCTGTGTGTATATATACACGTATATGTATGTGTGTGTGTGTGTATATATATATATACATACACACACACAGAATAATATAGCTTTGTTTTGTCTTTTTTTCCCTTTTTGCACCCATCTCTGGAGGCAACTGGAGACTTGAGAGTCAAGCTTGGGCTGTTGACCCCTGTGATGTTTCTGCCATCGGGCTCTGCTGTGCAGGTCCATCTTTTTCACAGTAATGCTGCTCTGCTGCTTATGGCTCTAGAAAAGGCAAGTGAAAAATGGAAAAAGAGGAATTTGGTAGGTTTTTTTTGTACATGATGTTGAGGGAGGACTAGAAGTTACCTCAGTCTTCTGTCCTTTGGACCTTCAGTCTTCTGAGGAAGACTGAGTCTTCTTGCATCAGATGGTTATGTTTTCTTATAACCACTTTCAATACTATATAGGTGTATTTTCTCCATCTGGAATTACAGGTTTTTAACAGAGTTTCAGCCAAATATAACTGCCATTTGGTGGAGTGGTTTGTTTGGCTGGTTTGTTTGTTGGAGAGGGTTAAATCTTAGGAAYATCAGGCTGAGCTTTCTTGAGCTATAGAGCTGTACTCTATAATAAATATTCAACAGATTAATTTTAGATTTTTAGGAAGTTCACAATGCTCATTGTGACAATAAACATTAAGCAACATGATCATTAAACAGTACTGCTTCTTAGTGAAAATAGGATATTTTGGTCTTGCATTTTGATTATTAAAGCCTTGTTTTTTTTGTTTTTTTCTTGTTGGTTTTCAGTTTGCCCTGAACTCTGAAAACGGTTGTTTTCCTTCCTGCTTTCCTTTCCTTCCTGTGTGGCTGCAGGAGACCATGGAGAGCCTGGGACGGCGAGGCCCACGCGTGGTGGTGGGATTCACCRCCCCGGCTAGAGGAGGTGTCTCAGTGCGTAGGTGGAGACTACACTTCCCAAGAGGCCCTTGAGCGAGCGAGCCCCAGTTGGGCTGGAGCCCCGGCCTTATCAAGAGCTGTGGGGAGCCACCACCGAGGCAGCGAAGCCGCCCATGGGGCCCACGTGCGGGATGAGGACCACCAAGTGCCAGCTGCTGGCCACCAGCCTCTGCGCCATGGTAAACAGCTGGGGACGGGGGCACCTCCGCACGAGCGGGACCCCCCAGCGCTTGGGGGGTTTCCTGCTTTCCCACGTTGCGTTTTTGAGCACACGGAGGGCTCAAAAGGCAACTGCCCGCGTTATCACCCCGGCAGTTATCGCTGGCCACCAGCGTCGCCGCCTCTCCCTGACAGACTTGTGGTTTCTGGAGGCTCTCGATGCAGCGTGAGGGCTTCGCAAGCCGGGGAGAGCCTTTAACGGGGGGACAAGAAAGGCTGTGGCCATTGGGCTCAGCTCTTTTTAGCGCTTGCTGCTAAAACCCGGTTTTAAAGAGTGAAAGGTGGAGGTTGGCTTTGCTGTAGCTGCACTTGTTTCTGGTATGAGTTTGGTGATCAGCTATAATGGTGCTTGAGGAGGATAGGAAACCACAGGGCTTGGAAGGAAATACAGGAGAAAGAAGGGCCCCTTTGAGGACTTGTGTGCAAAACACAGCTGCAAAACAAAAGCACTTCTAGGGATCTGCTTTGTATTTATTTAATTTTTTTTATATTAGCTTTTGATGCAAATTTAATGGGAGTTTCTTGTCATCTTCTGAGGAATTGAAGGAAAATAATACTGGTATTAGAGCTGATGGGGGGAATTATGGCGACTTGTAAATACTTTTTCTGGATGTTTTTGAGTTGTGCTGCTTTCTTTGTGTTTTAAACTTGATCCAAACTTATTTCCCCTCTCCCTGCCACCAAGTTTGAAAGTTCTGCATTTAGCTCAAAGAGGGATGGAGACTTAGGAAGAATACAGTTGGGAAGGGTACAAGGTGATGCTTTGTTTTGAAATTYGTAGTTTGCCAAAGTTTCGGCACATTTCAGAACTGCTGGCCCTAGTCGCTGTACATAGCGCTCTCCTCCAAGGGAGGCTGTTAACGTTGCAGACTACATCATTTAGGCAAAGCCAAAGGGGGGATTTTACCAAACRTATTCAAAGGATGTGCTAAGACACAGTGTCTGTGGATGGCTGCAGTTGTGGTGTTGTTACACTGTGCATTTATTCAGAGCAGCATTTCTCAGAAATCTGAGCTGACTAGTGCCGCACTTAGCGTTTTGCTGGGTGTGGGCAGAGATATGCAATAACGCACAGCAGTAAAGGAAGAGCCRTTGCTGTAAATCAGATTATTTATAACCAGGGTAGGCTGCAATTAGGATGTACTTATCTTGAAAACTGTAAGTCTTCAGCAGGAGCTGTTAGGTGAATCTAAGAGTCATCCTGTCCATAGCTAGATGGCTGTGAGGATTACCTAGACACCTGACTGTCACGTTTAACATGGAGACAGCTGCCCTGTGTTTCCATACTCTAAAGACACATGGTTGAAAACTTGTCTTGGGAGGTAGAAATGAACTTGCCTCTTTTTATCTTCAGGGTCTATTATACTGGAGGTTTCAACTCTTTATCTTGTCCTCTCTTGCTGTCTCTGTCTTGGCTCTCTTGCCCTTCATGTTCCAAGGAGCTGCCATAGATCAGGATGCCATCAGAAACGTCACCTCTCTGCCCTCAGGACTTGCTTTGGGCRATGCAGAGGGTTGTATGATGGTAGTCCCTTGGTGACTTGCTGGGTCGCCCTTATAAATCCAGATGTGTAGTCTGCAGATGAGAACGTGGCTGCATGGGTGTTTTGCAGAAGCATCAATCCTCTGGCTTACTCCTGGTGCAGTTGGGTTTTTTTGAGTTATGTGCAATGCTTTCAGAATTGAGATTTCTGCCTCTAGGTGGGCCTCAAAAGTACCTTAAAGCTTTGCATAGCTCCTCAGGAGCTGCTGCCTTTCAACTCCTTCACAAATATCTTCTTTTTCAGCTGCTGGGGCTGTCAATTGCTGCATTGAGCACAGTCACTCGCTTCGGGCCCCACTTCACCCTTATCAGCAACATTGCTTTTGAGAGCAACTCCTACAAAGTTATCCACAACACAGGTATGTTGCCRTCAGCTCCCAGTGGGACTTGGCTGAGCCCAGCATCTGCAAAGCATCGTGAGCATGCTGGAGGAAAGTCCCATGAGGGGCATGGTCTTTGGAGTACATAGTTGTGCAGAAAGCTTTTCCTGTTTTGGAGCTGGTATTGAAGGGTGAGACCCCTCCAATACAGAAGGGACCTGCTGTGTTTTCCTGGCCACATCTGCCAGGATGCCACTGCCCTGATTTAAAATAAATAAATAWTTTTTTAAAAAAAGGATAATGAGGAGGATGATATCAGGATTGTGGCCTTGCTTCTCCATCTTTAAGTACTTAGGTGGGCTAGGCTGGCAGGTAGAAGGAAAAAAGGTTGAGAAAAAGAAGAGAGCAAGAATATGAGAAGTGGTTCCAGAGGCTGGAGCGGGGCATAAAGAAATGAGAGTGGKAGAAATACATGGAGAAGCCTCTTCCTGCAGCAAATGTGGCTTATTTCCTGGCTTAATTCATGCTCTGAGCTGTACAGAGGCGGTGAGGGGAGGACTACACAAGTTAGTCAAGGGAGGAACAGAAGCTGAGTCTCAGATGAACAGCTGGCTAAGAGCAAAGTGATGAGAACAGCCCAAATACTAAAATAATGTGTTTATGGCTGCTGCACTTGTTTCTGCATCTTCTCCAAAACCATGCTTTGGACTAAAGCATCCGCACGCTTCTSTAGCTGCTGGTACCAGCTCCAGTTTAACATAAAATAGGTAGATTRAATACAGTTGTCTCCCAGACTTCTCCCCTCTGCTCTATGCATTAGGGTTATATACATTGAGACTTAATTCAGCCTTGCAGGCCCTCATTTTTGAGCCACCCTCTGTCGCTTAGGCACCAAGGCCTTGAGGGGTCTTTCTGCTTGCTTTGCTCACAAGCATGGATTTTCTGCACTGTTTAGCCCCCATTCTGCAGTACAACATCCTGGGCACCCCAAATTCTCCCATGGGGGATGGCTACAACTCTGCTTAGCCAGGAAACCAGAGAGTGGCTGTTAGATGAGATGAGCAGCATGTGAGCTYGCGATAGGGGCTGCGTGGCAGCCTCTTCTGCTCCCCGGAGCCGGCGGATGCGGATCTGCATCCGGCTGTTGGAGTCGCCAACAGCTTGTGGTTGGCTGGGGAGGGGGCTGGCGCATTTGGAGGGCACCCTGCTCGGCTGGAGCACAGGGAAGTTGCTTGGAGGCTTACAGTTCTGCAGGAGAAGCAGGCCRGAGAGATATGAGGAGCACTGGAAAAGTTGTAGGAGATCGGAGTTCTCYTGCAACCAGCCCTCGTGTAGCAGGGCCTCAAAACAGGCCGTTTGAGCCCTATTTGGGTGAAAGCATCTCCTCCCTTAAGGTTGCCTCTAAATCCTTGGTGTCTGACTGCAGCTCCTGTGTCCTTCCAGCTTTCTAYGTCGGGATGTATCTCAGCATGATCCTGCTCCTGGCCGCCCTGCTCAGCTCTGTCGCCACCATGCGGGAATCGGAGTGTCTCACCGCCATGGTGCGTACCCGGGGTGACTCGGTGGGAGCAGCTTTGTGTAGCGTTGAGCGGATCCTGCTGCGTGGAGACATGCGGAGGAGAGTCTTCACCTCTCCTCCATTCCAGTCAGCTCCTAAGGGTGAACCTTGTTCTCTAATATGCAGGATATTTTAATTTTTTCCTCACARAGCTGTCTCTCTTTATGTGCTTTACGTTGTTGTGGTCTTGGTTTGTCTTGCTCCCSTTTGCTGGAGCGTTTCTCTTGCTGTCCCCTACAGTGATGGTGATGAACACACGAAGCATGTGGCCTTTTGGCAGAGATATCAGCCTTAGCCTCCAGAGAAACAGTGCCGTGGCCCCCCGAGAGCTGGAATGCTGCGTTTCAGCTCGCTCTGTGTGGAGTGAAAGGCCTGTTTGGGCCCAGGCCAAGGCAGCACGGCGTTTGCAGAGAGCTTAGTGTGCCCAGAGCAGTGAGTCAGGAGAACAGCTCCTTTGGAAGAAGTGTTTTTTCCTGGTATCGGCAGATATTGGGAGTGGGATACCCTAAAGTGGCCATAGTCAGGGTTAGCTTGAAGGGAACGTGGCTTTAGTGACAGGAATGGTCAAATGTGATGAGAGAAAGGGTCCCGGGCACGAGCTGTGACGAGCCGTGTGCTCGTCCTCTCCTCTGCATTTCGCCACTGGAGGGGGCCAAGTCCCCGCGCTGGCCGCAGGGCCACCCGGCACCTCTGTGCCCATCTCCTCCCCACGGTGGGTTTTGGGTCCCTGCCCCTCGGCAAGGCCCGGAGGTTGATGAGCAGGTGGGAAGCGAAGGCAGAGAGYGCCAGTCTCTCGGGTCTGGTGTGGAGTGTGGTAGGAAGCAGGAGCGGGATTCGAACTCACAGAGCACTGAGGCTGGGTTTTTCTGGTGCCCTGAAATGAGAAATGATCAATCCCTCGCAGCCTTTTTCTGCTCCTTAATGGAGTGGATTTTTCAACTTTCCTCGCTATTGATTTTAAAGGAATTCCCTCCTCTACAGTAGCCTTGTTTTAAGCCCATTTAATTTTCTATTTAATTGGGAAGAAGCTGCAGTATTGGCGTCTCCCACCTGGCAGTGTGGGAGAGCAAGCAGCATCCTTGGCAGTCGTTGTGGTTGCTCCATAATCCTCCGCYCGGGAAAGCAGGAGGAGCGTCACCCTGGCTGATGACCCGCTGGGCAGATCCCCTCTCCAAAGTCCTGGACTCTTCCCCCAAAACACAGCTCCTCCTCCAGCAGAGCTGGTGGGGATGGTCTTGTTGCCTGYCTCCCGGGACACTTGTGGAGAGCCCGTGGATCCTTGTTCTCAGTGGTATGTGGTATATCGTTCAGTCAGTCCCCAACATAAACATCCTGTAGGCCGTGTTACTATGGATGGGGAGGAGAAGGAAGGAAAGCTGCAGCTCTGCCAGCACTGCTTGTACGGAGGAAAAGAGCCTGCCCGGATGCTAGCACACGGAGCATTAAACTGCTGGGCAGATAGGGAGACGGGGAGAGGGGAAAAAACAGCCCGGAGAAAGCCAAAATATCCCATCTGAAACACTGGCAGCTGGATTTTCCAAGCTGGAAATTGCTAGTCTAGAGCAAAATGTGTTCAGGACAGATCGGCTGTTCTGAGTGCTGGCTCCAAACACTTAACTGGGATGGAAAAGCATCATCGAAAGCCTGTTCTGGGTGATGTGCCAGTGGCACCAGCACTCAGCACCAGCTCTTGGCTTTACTGTTCCCAAACATGTAATTGCAGCAAGGTCCGAGGGTCCTTCATGGCCCTCGGATCATGGCACATTCCTGCATCCTGTCCCGCTCCTGAGCACAAAATCCATCCCCTGACCTCCCTACGGAGGATCCCTGGTTGTGGGTGATTCCTCACCCCTGCAGAGCTCGTTCCTACCCCAAGGAGTAGGTGCGGGAGGGATGAGCCGAGCGTTTTGAGAGTCCTTAATTCATTGTTTTATTTTCTCCAAATGTCTTCTAATGTAATTAAGGAGTCATGCTACCTAAAGCCTTCTGGCAGGGAAAGGGAAAAAGCAGCCCATAATTCATTTATAAGCCCTTCTAGGAGCCATGTAATTGCTTATCGTGGGCTGGTTAGGGGATGAGCTTCCCAAGGGTCTGCTTTTCCGTATGCCCACGGACGYGGCGTTGCAGGAAAAGCAGAGCAGGGAGGAGGGTGAAGGGCTGAGGTGAGGGGCTGGAGCTGAAAATGGAGATGTCCTTGTCGAGGAATGTATACCATGTAATGTGGAAGAGTCTTCTTCTTTGTCCTGACTCCTAGCTGATCCTTCTCTGTGTTTTTTGGYAGCTACTTGCCTCTCTCATCTCTCTGAAGACTGGGTTATTTTTAAGATGTTGCTGGAATCAAATTTTCATTGACTTTAAATTTTAAAGCGGTATTTGTCATGAAGCAAAAATTCTGAGTATCCTACTCCCTGCCCCTCCTAAAAATATTTCAAAAAAAGAAAAAAGAACCAGGCATATATAATTAAAGTCTTTCGTAAGAGCCATGCCAGGTTCTCCCCAGGCACCTGCTAAGGAGCCTGTAAACAAGACAACTGTGAGTCGTGAAATGCCAAACAAACAATTTCATTCCTGGAACAAAATTTCTGTGCCGGTGCCTCATCCTGGGTTGAGCAGAAATATAGATGAGGCAAAAAATGGACGAAAACCACACGAAGTTATTTTGCTGGCATGTTTGTGCTTGTTTCCAGGATTTGAAATGACATGTTTTTTCCTTTTTTACTATGGAGCTGGTGGTGTGGTATGACGGGTTTTTGCTTGCTTGCTTTTGGTTTTAGAGCCACATGGCCTTAAGCAAATTTTTTGGTAAGTTTTTGGTAAAACAGAGTGGGTAACTAATATTCTTATCTCTTTCTTTAAGCTTGCATTTGGCAAATATTTTCACTTTTTTAATATTCCAGCAGAGTCATATTAAAATATCCGTATAAAATTTTTAAAAACAAGCCTCAGTCAAATGGGACAGCTTTCCCCGGACAGGCAGCTCCTTTCAGAAGGGGACTGGTTAGATGGAAAAACATGCAAGGGCAAGAGTTTCCAGCTGGTGCTTGTTCAGCATCTTTTGCCACCCCAAGGCCACACTCTGGGTTTGATACCAGATTCATATTTGATGAGCCCGTTTGGCCTTCAAAGGCTTTACATGCACTTTTGCTTCTCTCTCTTTTTTTATTTTGTTTTTTAATGTAAATTTTTTTTGGCCCAGCTGTCACAATAGGCAACCAGTGTTTACAGCAGGGATTTTTTTGTTGTTGTTTTGTTTTGTTTTTGGTTGAAACTTGCTCAGATAAAGACGCAGCATCTCTAACTTCCAGCTTTGCAAGCTTAGCAAAGACTACAAAAGTCAAGCTGCCTTCTATGTCATTGTCACTATTGTTTATACAGTTCAGGGTCAGTTGCTGGCCTTGGTTATATTTCTGTCTTCCTCCTGTCTAAACGGGACGGGGCTGATTTAAGAAAGGCAACTTGGCTCTGCGGCTAGAGTGGTGTTAATAGCTCCGAGGGGCTGGCTGGAGGCAAATCCAGCTCGTTTCCCAGAGGTCCTCCTCACCCACTTGTATAGAGGCTACATTCATCTGAGTGGGAATTTCTGGTTGGCCAATTTGTTCTTATTTTCCCCACTTTAAAGCTGGTATCTGAGTTTTACACCTGGAAGAGACTCTATGCCTTGAATAAGGAGTTATCTCTGTATGTGGTCCTGCTTCCAAATAGTAGCATGCTGTAAATTTTTTCCCCCCTTTTTAAAATTTTATATATATATATATATATATTTTCTTAGGAGGAAATTGGGCAGAATAAGTTAGCTGCTCTACAGGAAGGAGAGAGCTTTTTCTGGTCAACCCCTACACAAGGCCACAGTGTAATTAGAGGGTTCCTGCAGGAAGATGATGAAGCTATTATACATCTAATTTCTTATTAAGTAACCAGCATTATGGGGGATGTTAAAAGAAGGTGATATTTTGCTCTAATTTTAAGCCAATTTGCTAAAACTAGCATACTAAATATGATCCTAAGGTATTTTCACAAAAATATGCTCTCCCTGTGCTGTAACGGGCAATATTTTCTCTCTGTCCTCAGGGATTTCTGTGTTTTGCTCTTGCCTTTTGCGGATTGATACCAGCTGCCTTTTGGAGATACACTCACAGGACAGAGGTAAGCGCTGTTTGCTAGGAAATATCATCGAGCCCTCATCTGTTTGGGGGTTTGTAGCAGTGATTTTGTGCATAAAAGAAACATCTGGTGGTAATTAAGACATCCTTGTAGAGGCCTATCAGATACATGCAGTGTCATATCTGTCCTTTGCGAGCTGGGAAGCTGCTTTTAACAGGACCTTTCAGAAAGGATCATCCAAATGGGAAGAGGGGTGCACAAGGTGTTTGTCATGGGGGCCCTCAAGACAAATGATTTCTCCTGAAACCAAAATGAAATGGGAATCTTGTTCCAATTTGTGTGAGTTCTGTTTGTTTGTTTTTTCCCTTAATATGCTCCTGTTTTCAGCCAGCTCTAGTGTCTGCTAAAATCACCTGGGAGTCTTTACGTAAAAACTGCAGTAGATTGTGACTGTTCCGACTGCCTTTTCCTGTGGTGATGGCCAGGAGATCAACATCCAGGCAGTGAGTTTATTAGATCTCAGCAGTGACAGAGTGAAAACGCAAGAATGAGATGAGGGCTTGTGAGCTGCTGTTGCACGGAGACAAATGGGCCAGAAGGAGAGAGTTTCCAAGGGTCTCATGTCCAAGGGCAAATTTGCAAGAATGTCTGGGGTTTGGATTGCTGTCATGGAGCGATACTGGTGGTGTAGGAGGTGGTGCTCGAGTCTCAGTGGCAGTTTTGCCCAGTGTTGCTGGGTGAAGGTGGTGRAGAAAGGAGCTGAGGATGCAGGGCTCCTGCTAGCTCAGCAGCTGGGGCAGGCATCTCCTGAAGATGGTGTGGCCAAGGTTGGCAAGGTGCTGAGGAAGCCCAAGGTGAGGTACGTGGTGGCAGGACCTACGAGGGACAGCCCTGCTRGCCAGCAGCGTGGGGACCCTTCCATCAGTGTATGGGGCCAGGTCTGACCTCACCTCTGGGCAAGGAGGGTTGCAGGCTGCTGGGAGAAGCAGAACAACAATTGATATTGCAACTTTAAAAAGTCTAGACTTCTCCTTGCTGTGTTGCAGTCATTTTGTTTTCAGTCTCCTTCCCTTTTAGAGGAATTTGGCAATGCTTCTGGTTCTTGCTTCTTCCTCCTGCCCCTTGCTCATAAAACATTCTAAGAGAAGAAAAAAAAAAAAAGGTGACTTCCTTCTCAAAAGCTGCAAAGTGCTGACATTCTGGATTACTATTTGAATGTGACATGGGTTGCATGCTGTTAAACAGCCACAAGGATAAGCATTTTGCACTCACATATATAAATTCATCATTCCTTTGTTCAGATCTGATCCACAAAATGCAGAAGCCCTGTCTTACAAATGTGTAGTGTTTTGCACAGAAATTAAAATAACATYCTTCTGGAAGCACAAGACTGAGGGAAGATGTCCAGGTTGAAGTGAGGAGTGACCCAGTCCTGCCTCTCTAGAATTATATCCAGACCTGCCTGGTGCTTCTCATGAGAAAATAATGACTGGCCTGCTTCCAAAGTGTGTTTGTTTACCAGGTTCTGCAAAAAAAAAAAAAAAAAAAAAAGAATAGCCAACCTGTTAGAACAAGCTGTGGTAAACATCCCAGTGGCAGGGTTTTAAGTGGATCCCGATACTTGTCTCTCTTCTCTTGTGTGTAATGTATCATAGTTCTCGTGGTCGAAAGATGATAGCGCTTGATTAATAGTRATCAGCAATTAATCCACAGGTAAGCAGCACTGACTGCTGAAGGGGGAAAGAAATGAGTGTCTGCGGAGCCTTGGCTTAAACCTGAGCTCAAAATGCAGAAAGGATGATGGTTAAATTACAACTCGTTAACTACATCGTTGCGCGTCACTTGGATTTTGTCTTCTCTCGCTTGTACTTTGTCTCCTGGTATATGTGATTACAGTCCCAATTTCCTTCTAGTGGTTCCTTCGAGTRGTAATTGAGGCTTTTGCAGAAGCACGTGGGTTTTGGTGAGCCATTTATGGTGTATGGTCGGCCTTCTGGTCAGCTGGACTGAGAAGAGCAACGTCAGGGGTTCCAGAAGCGAAAAAGCTGAAGCCCAGGAGAATGGGAGTGTTTGTCTGTACGTCAGAGTGTGTGCCCAGTTCATAAAGAAATCCTTTGTATTTTATCTCGTGGGACCAAGGGAGAAGGTGGTGTTCTGCCCYGAGGAAAATCATGCTGCTGTCGCTGGCAGAGATGTCAGAACTTCTCGGGCTGAGCTGGCTGGGAGAGCAGCAACGCGAATACCTGACATCCCAAGGTTGTTGAATTTAACTTTTCTGCTGGCCTTACTGCTGAGCCATTCAGAGAAGCCGTTTGTGCCTCAGTGTTTCTCCCTTTGGCTCGTGGCTGCAGCCTGGTTCCTACCTGCTGTGCCCACCACTGCTCCTTCACCCCCATCGGACTCTCAGGCCCACCTTTGGCTGGCCAGGTGTAACGAGGAGGGTTTTGGGTGGTTTTCAGCCGTGCTGGCAAGTKCTCATTCTGGATATCAAAGAGCTGAGCCTTGCTTTCAAAACAAACAAACCCAAACCCCTCATTTTTATGGTGGTATTCCCATACCCCCCTGCCAGTTTAGGCGAGGTCTGTCGATCGTTTGCAATTTAGGCAGATGCAGCTGGGCTCTCGAACACGGGGAGGACATAGGAGAGGCTTATGCCACGTCTGGCGCTGCTCTTGGGGGAGGCTGCAGCTTTCTCCTCACAAACTACAGCAGGCCGGTGTTTTTCCTCTGCTTGCCCATTAATCTCTATTTTAAAGCTGGGCGGGGTGGCAGGCTTACAGGCACTGTAAAAGCCAGCATGGCCTTTGCTATTCTTGTTAATCAGCACAGAATATTTTGGAGGCTTTGGGTGGCGTTCTGGGCGTTGCAGTGAAACAGGCTGGAGGAATTTCGGCGTTGCATCGCTCTTCTCTGCCCCTCTCTGCAGCCTGCAGCTTGGAAATTCCCTGCGGGAGCCCTGCGTGTGCCCAGGGTGATGGCAGGATGAGTCAGGGAAAAGGGAAAAATGCTGAAGCGTGAGAGGGCTTTCGCAACAGGAGGAGCTTTTTAATTACAACCATTCATTAGCAGGTGACTGTTACCTTAGTCTAAATGAATTATGATCCCCCAAACCATGATTTGAGGGGAGAGCTTGAAACAAAGCCTTGGTGCAGATAAATATGCCGAGTCCTGTGCCTGTTTTGGCAGTAGCAGCAGTTCCTTTGACCATGGGTGGCCAGGAAAAAGAGGCAGTTGCTGATGCGTTGGTCAGGTCAGCCTGGGAGCTTTGCAGTGTGAAAGGCACAGTGTGTGCATATGGTCAGGCTGCACTTTCCAGCCTGCTAATCTGCATCCGAGTTACCTTTCCACATCTCCTTTGCTGTCCCCAGGCTGTTTGTGCCTGTTGGTTATGTTTCTGTGTCTGCTGCTAACATAATGAGCAGATTTTCCAGCAGCATTTTGTTTTGCATTTGTAGAAGAGCAGTAGTGCTCTTTTTATGTTGTATTATGTGTACTTGGGGAATAAAATTAGGATTTAGCCTCTAGTTGAGGGAGGAAGGAGCTCCAGGGTGCACAGGCACCTTCTCGCGTGCAGCCTTGCTCAGCCTGAGGCTCTCTTCAGAGGACTCCGTGGAAAGGAAGCAGTCTCTCATATCCCGTGGGCCGCAGCTGATGGGGTAAGCTTGTCCTCCCATATATCTGAGACTCCTAAATCACAGCCCCGTCCGTCCTCAGCAGAGCTGCAATCTCCCAACAGCTGGTTCCTAATCCCGCAGCTCACGTTCCCTGCTCTCCTGCATCCTCTCACCCAGCTTGAGGGACCACTGAGCTTTTCCAAAGTGCAGGCTTCCATCAGGGCCTCTTACGTGCAGCAGCAGCTGCCTCCCTTGGTAGGGAGCAGGGTGATCTCTTTTGAGATGGTGCCTTTCTGGTCGGGCCTGGCACAGGGCTGAGGTTCATGGTTACAGCTGTTGAACAAGGAGCACTGGTAGGGCCGGCTCCCATTCCTGAAGAGCCTCCCTGTTCCTCCCTGCCCTGCGTGGGGGGTCAGCACCAGACGTGTCTTATCTGCAGCTCTGGCTCGTGACAAACACGTTTRCAAAGTAAGATGAAGTGTTGCCTCTGTCTCTAAGAGTTTTGCATGCATAAAACATGCACTTGCATCAGCATCCCCTTTTTTTCTTTCTTCCCCCCCCCCCCCATATTTCTCCCTGTAGCTTTTATTTCTTCCTTTTTTCTCTGTAATTCCTGTTAGTAATGTATATTGGAGCAAACTGGAGCAAATTCTTGCAGGATCGGCTACAGTTTATGCTGACATTTCAGGTCCAAGGCAGCAGCCTCCGTTTGAGGGCAACCTCTGAATGCAAGCGTGAGTCGTGGCGATTATAACGGGACCTAAATGCAAGCTACAGGTGGGAAAGACAACCTCCCTCTTTCTCAGTCTTGTTAAATATARCACCTCTTAGTGCTTGTGTTCACGCCACCCAGCAAGACACTGCTCCCTTGTTTGATGCGTTTGCATTCCWGTTTTCTATAATTCATGGCTGCCCTGACGCTGAACCCGCTTGGCCCGTTTTCTGCCTCTTCTGTGGCATTTTGCTGCAGGAGCAGGTCCYCGGGCTGTTATGAAACCTGGTGGAGAGAAATACCTGAGGTTTGCATCAAGCAGAAGAGGCCTTGATGCATTACGGAGCTCCCACTGCTGATTTCTCCCTGCTGATTCCCCCTCTCTTCCCTGCGCTGCTCTGTTTTCAATTAAACTCAGTACCAGGCATCACAGCCATCTGCTCCAGCTCCTTTTTTGCCTGTTTATTTTCTCCTCCCCGTTTCTGACGCGAGTCTGCCATGTGGAGAAGAAAGGCAAGGCGGGGATAGCGAAATGTGGATGTGTGTCCTTGCTGGAGCAAGGAAGGCGGTAGCATGGTTGGATCACTTTATTCCAGTTGCCTGTGCTAAATGCCTAGTRTGCAGCTAAGCAAGGGAACCAGTGGAGACTGCCACGGAAGGACTATCTGAGTGATGCTGAAGTGAATACATCCCTTGTAGCAGGAGCCARAGGTGCTTGAGGTGTCGTTTCCACAGCAAATGTGCTTGGTGGTGGCCTCCCAAAGGCACAGAGAGCAAGAAGAGTCCCTGGAGAGCAGCAGGTTCCTCTCCTGTGGTGCTAAGGGCAATCCCTGGAAATCGCAGAATCATGGAGTGGTTGAGGTTGGAAGGGACCCCTACACAAATCAAACCTCTATACAAATCTTCTCCACTGTGTTATGTCCCAAATCAAAGGGAATTATAAAGGTGAATGTGTATATCCCAGCCAAACACACCCTGATGCAAGTTATAAAACTAGGGACTGTATTTTCATACTTTATTTTTCTTTTTATACTTTTTATTTCATACTTTAGATGCACATGAGTTTGCATGCCATTTTGGTCTGGGTAGACATAGCTCTGCATGACTGCTGTTCCAGAGCCTGCTTGCAGCTCAGGTCACTGTCCCCAGCAGAAAAGTTGCTAAAAAGGTGATGTATTAGTGCAATGTTTTATTGGGCCTCCTATTGCCAAACTGCACCTCTTGCCCACTCTGTGGCACAGTCTTTGGTGTGGAAGGGAAAAGCTAGTGATAAATACTGAGTTCTAGGGCTTTGTATATACCTCTGAACTGCTTAAATTAGAAATTTCTTGGCAATAATCTTTGAAAACAAATTGTTAGACCATGTAAAGATGTGTAGATTTCTCCTTCAAATTTACATGTTTCTAGAAGAAAGAGAGAAAAAAAGAGGAGAAAAAAAAAAANCGGAGTGGTTGAGGTTGGAAGGGACCTCTAGAGATCATCCAGTCGAGCCCCAAATCCCCTGAAAAAGGTGGGCTTGTCTTCGAGACAGTTGTTTGGTTGTGAAATTACCTTTCCTTATGATTTAGGAGGAGTAAATGCCTTGTTATAATCATACATTCTGTTTCTTGGGGGATAAATGACCAGCGGGATGATAAAACACCTTTTTTAAGTGAAAAATGCTGCCACTTTAACTTAGTTGGAGTCAGTTGCATCAGTCTTGAGGGTTGCTGTTCCACTTGTGTGTTCTCTCACCCATCTGTATCATCCCTGATGTTTCTTTAAGGAATAAATGGAAGTGAGAGGCTCTAATTCTTTCACTAATTTGGAGCTGCAACACTTCACTAAGTTCCTCCCAGGGAAAAAAATCCCTACTACTCGGCGTGACCCTTTTGCCATGTCATTTGAGCTGGAGGTTCTTCTCAAGCTGAAGCCCAGCTAACACTTCATCTTTATCCCTCTGCCTTTCCTACAGACGAGGGCAGGAAACACGTTCTCGTAGCAAGGGAGAGCTTTGTCTAGAAGTGCCCCTCCAACAGTGAGCCACCATCTGCGTGCCGAATGGTTTGCACCATGCACCAAGTCAGCAGCACATCACTGGTAACAGGAAAATCCACTTTACCCTAATAGTGCTAATGTGTAGGGGCAGTTCTAAGACCTTTTGAAAAGAAGCCAAACCAGATTCCTCTTCTCCTCCAGCTGTGTGAGCACCTTACAGACTAACAGCTACTGAAGCTCAAGGACAGGGCTCACCTGTGGTTTTCTTAAGGCATATGATTGAATATACCAGCATAACCACTCAGAAACGTAAAAGACATCCTGTTGTTTAACTAAGAGCAAGCACCCTGATCTTAGTAGTTTCTTGTTCCTCCCCAACACCAAGGAGAAAATTGCTCTGGGGCAATGGGGCTTCTGCGAGTTCCTCTTCAGTGGAGTGTGTGATGGCAGTCTCTTGGGGACAGCAATTTGCCTCAAAGCAGTAAAGCTCTCCGGTTCTCCACTGTGTTATGTCCCAAATCAAAGGGAAGTATAAAGGTGAATGTGTATATCCCAGCCAAACACACCCTGATGCAAGTTATAAAACTAGGGACTGTATTTTCATACTTTATTTTTCTTTTTATACTTTTTATTTCATACTTTAGATGCACATGAGTTTGCATGCCATTTTGGTCTGGGTAGACATAGCTCTGCATGACTGCTGTTCCAGAGCCTGCTTGCAGCTCAGGTCACTGTCCCCAGCAGAAAAGTTGCTAAAAAGGTGATGTATTAGTGCAATGTTTTATTGGGCCTCCTATTGCCAAACTGCACCTCTTGCCCACTCTGTGGCACAGTCTTTGGTGTGGAAGGGAAAAGCTAGTGATAAATACTGAGTTCTAGGGCTTTGTATMTACCTCTGAACTGCTTAAATTAGAAATTTCTTGGCAATAATCTTTGAAAACAAATTGTTAGACCATGTAAAGWTGTGTAGATTTCTCCTTCAAATTTACATGTTTCTAGAAGAAAGAGAGAAAAAAAGAGGAGAAAAAAAAAAAGAAAAGCTAGATAAAAATGCTAGATTGCTAGATATAATTATTAGTTATAGATGCTGAGAATGGCTAATCAGCAAGTGGTGCTCCTAGACTTGCCTAGAAACACATTTGTAAGAGGAAATTATTGCTGTAAAGCACTTCCATTTTAATCTTTGTGCTTTCAGCTCTTGGAGGCTGCTTTGCAAGACGAAACAGCAGCAGATAACCAAGGAGGCAGCTCACAAGTGAGCTCAGAAAGAGCCTGTGATGCTGGAGTGTATTAGTCATTACCTATCTGGAGATTTTGCTTCTCCACCTTTGTCACCGAAACAGCGATGGAGATAATGGTGACGTAGGGGCTGCAAGTTATCTAGATGATAAGCTCCTTTGGCAATAGATTTGTATCTTCTGTAGAATATTATGCACAGCAACATCACTTGCTCGTATAATATGGGATATAGCATGCTATTCAGTAGCATATATGCAGATGACAGAGGCAAGGAGCACAAATAACAAGCTGTTATTTCATGACCTAGTGGAAAGCCAAGCAATGCAATCCCCAAGAAGACTGCAGGCTTTGTCTGGAGCATCAGAAGGTTCTTTAGAAGAGCAAATATGATGGGGCAAATATAAGACAAGGAGTAGAGGCAGCATTCAGAAGAGGAGTGAATCTGGAGCCAGAGCAGATGTGTCATCTTAGTAAAATATCTCTGGTAGTGGTTGGACCAAGTTTTACTGTTGGGATGAAACAGGAATCAATTTGTCTATGTTTTCAAGTTATGCCAGCCTTCCTAAAAAGCCTGCTCYAATTTTGGGACCTTTCTGAAAGGAAATGAAGCGTCCTGAGCTAATGACAATTTTGAAGAGACAAAAATTGTGTATGTGCCCCATTAACTTTTAGATCTGTGTATATGTAGTGACAACACAAGTAGTTTTATCCCTGTATATTAGGCTGGAGATGAGTTTCTCAGAAAAAGTTAAAAAAATCTCTTGGATGGGGAAGCAGGCTGCTTAGTGTTCTTATTCCTTAAAAACACAAGACCGAAACAGGAGGTCAAGGAATTACCTTTTTTGTTATTTTCAATTCAACTCTTTAGTGCAAATGAAAACTTTCYTTACTGAATCCATTTGTTGTTGTTGTTGTTGCACCACTTGGCCAAACAAAGCCACCAAACCGTTTCCAACTTTGGGAAAATCTTCTGACAAGTTACTTAGAACTAGATTTTTTTTTTTGTCCCTCCTGATATGGGGAAATGCAAAATTCAAGCATCTTTCTCAGTCCCCTTCTCTCTCTCTCTTCCTCTTGGTTGTTATTAGCCTGTGTTAGTTCCCTGCGTTGGGGATGAGCAGGCAGAACAGGATAATATGAGAGTAATGTCTGTAACCATCTCAAGTGACCYGTTTTTCACCTCCAAGCTGTGAAGATGTCAGGCAATGCTGTGTTTTTGCTAGGGTAATTTCTAAGTGCAGCCCCTTAAGACCTAACTGAAAARCCTTGCTGAGATGGGTTTGCTCCAAGAGCACTTGTTCCTCCCCATGCTGCCACCCACTCTTACGGATTGATTTTCTTCTGTTCTAAAAGCCAAATGTTGCTTCCACTCTGATCAATATTGGTAAGGAAGTGCCTGGAAATGAAGGAAAGATTTTGATCCCTGGTGCTGAAGGCAGTTGTCACCTGTGGATTTTTTTTTTTTCCTTTAGAACCTGAGGATAAATCCCAGGATTTATCAAGCCATCGGTTCTCATGCTTCTGGTAAATATTTAGAATCTGATTTACCACTGAATCAGTCTGTTACTTCATTGACTGGAGGAATAAATAATGGTGGGATAACAATATCCATCTGAGGCGTGTCCCTTGGCAGGACAGGGAAGYGCTGAAGTCCCTCCTTGCCGTGGCTTGTTGCCCTCTGCCTGAAAGCTTCTCATGGGACGTGGCAGGAGGGCCTTTCCCTCCCCAGGGGCCTGTGGTCACCGTTGTGTGTGTACCCATCTCTGCTTTGCTCACAGGTGGAAGACRGCATGATGGACGTCTATGACTTCGTGTACGAGGAGGTGAGGAGGAATGCCTCCAGCTTCAGGAGGCAGGAGCTGGCTGCCATCCATGAAACAGTAAGACCTGGCAAAAACCTTGCTCTGGACTGTCTTTCCATGGGTTTCAGTAAGCTGTGGTACCAGCCCATTTCATCTGCCACCAGTGTTGTTTTCCCTTGGGAACAGGGTGTCTCTGCTTGTTGCCACGTCTGCTTTTCCCTTCCTAGACACTTTCTAGGTTTGACCACTTGGATTACCAGTGGGAGGGAAGGAGTATTGCTCTGGTGCAAGATCTTAAATTTAGGCTTTTGTCCTGTAGCTAACTTTTGTCTGCCTTGGTAGGCTGTTGCCAAGCCCTGTTTCTCCATGTCTGTGGTATGATAAAGCAGATAAACGCCTCTCTGCTCCCAGCGAGGTACAGATAACGGATGAAGTTCCACAAATATTTCCTTAATTCCCTGTAATAAGGGCTTTCCAAAGCTGCTTTCATCTGTGCTTCTCAGACCGCAGTTAAGGGCAAATACTCCACATTCTAATGACACCAGCAGCTCCTCAGAGACACAGCCGGGAGCGTGAGTGCTTCTCGTGGGGAAAATGAGGCCTGGGGTTATTCATCCCCCCAAATTCAGGAGAACCAGGRGGGTTATTCATACTCCCAAATTCAGGAGAAGCAGGCAGAGGACGCAGCCTTCACCAGTTGCTTGCCTTAGCCACGCTGTGGAAGGTGTCCCCATCGTTRACAAGGCTGGGAAGGGGAGCGCCCCGGGCATTGCCTGACCACGCGGCCGCTTCCTTGCAGTTCCTGTGCTGCGGGAAGCGYTCCCCCTTCGGAGAAACGGGACATGTGGAGCGCAGGACGTGCCCGCCAGGCCGCCCCGAGGCAGTGGAAGAGGTAAGGAGAAAGTCAGTCCTTCCTCCATGCGTGTGCAAGGGTTGTGGTGTCACAGGGATGGGTCTGAGCTCAAAAACCTGCCCGCCTTCCCRTGCAGTGCTGATTTCTGAGGCTTTAAGGGGTATTTCCCTAACAGCAAAATGTTGAAGGTGCATATGGTTATTGCACTCCCTTTTCCAAAGGCGTTGAACATGTGCTTAAAATGAAAAAAAAGAGGAATTCGTAAGTAAGGACTGCGTCCAGCAGTAGCTTTATCATGTATATTTCCATCCCTCTTTTTATATTGGAGTGGTCAAATGAATTGAAGTAGCTACAGCTGCCAGCTTGAATGTGTTATTCCTAGGAGAACAAGATTCCAACAAGCAAATTATTCCTAGGAAAAACAGGAACGTGTTGCTGCAGCTATACAAAAACATCCCATTTGCAAAGATGTCAGGAGCTAATGCAACGTTGCGATGCTTAGGCACCCATCAGCCTGCAGGGCAGCGTTTCAAAATGCTATATCCTGAAGAACAAATTCACAAAAGCAGGTTGACTTCAGATCAAATAACAGGAAGGAAGAGAACAACAAATTTGGCCGCTGTGTTTGACTCCATTCACCACCTCTAATGGTTTGAGTTTTCTCCGGCCGCTGTTTGGGGGAAGCGAGCACAGAGATGTATTTTCCAAGATCTGGAACTGCAGGATTTCATGGTTGTAACACATTTACTCTTCAGCATTGATGCTGCAGCACCGTGAGCACCCTTATCCAGCAAAGCACTTGACCTAGATCGTGCTCTTACACCTTTCAGTGGTTCCCTTGACTTACTGGTTGTCTTAGTAGCCCACTTGGTCTTCAGTGGAGTCTCTGGCATGCGTAGCCCTAACACCCATTAATTTTCATGACACCACGCAAAGTTGTGCTATAGTATCCTTGAAGAACATAYGTTGCATTAAGGTGTGCTGCTGAAATGAAATGTTTTCATTTCACTTTGTAGATTTTATTCCACCATTTTTTTTGAGATTCTATTAAATGCAGTTATGTGTTAAATACAGCTGAATTCCCAAAGCAACTAGTGTGCTGTCGCAGTCTCCCCCTTGCCTCCTGTCACAGTGTCTCTCTTGTCTCAGGATTGCCTCCGAGAGATCCAGGACTTCCTGAAGAAGCACATGGGCTTTGTCTCAGCGCTGCTGGCCGTCGCCATCTGTTTCGTGGTAGCTATGCCCATTCTTGGCTTTTTTTAGCCCAGGGAGGCAGGCTTCGGGAGGGGAATTGTATCCTAAATTAGCCTCAAGGAGCTAGGATTTAGACACCTGACTCAAATGACTTTGGAGCTTAGGCCTGAGTGACGGGGAAATACAAATACACAGGGGTGACTTTGTCACAGAAATTGGGAGAGATCCATGGCCCGTGTGGCGGCGGGCGGCAGCTGCCAGCCGAGYGGTTCCTCGGCAGAAATAGCCAAGTGCAAGTGTCAGCAAGTGCAGAGGAAGGGATGCAGAAAAGCCCCGTCTTCCGGGAAACGCGGTGCTGCCTCCCACGCTGGATTTGTATCGTTTTCAGAGGGAGAGAGGGAGGAAAGGGGACAGAAAAGCTGCCATGGGAGTGTGTCATTCAGCGGGCAACGTGTTCGGGAGCTGGAGAGCCACACTCATAAGTCTTATATCTGCCCGCTCTTTGGCAGTTATATATCACACTTCAGCTGCCTCTCTGCAAGGGCCCTGTGCGTGTAGTAAATATGCCAGAAAAGAATACCATCCAGGAGACTCCTGTTGTAAACATCAAGTTAGGTTTTATTCTGCTGCAATACCTCTGGGCGATTTTTTCTGACTATATATATATATATATATATGTTTAAACTACTACTATCTGCCTTGGCATAGAACACACTGTATCTAGGAGTGGTAGCTTCACCCCTAGTCCTACAAATTAATACTCCCAAAAGGTTCCTAGCTCCGTAAATGCTGTGTGAGCACGAGAGCCTTGAGCCAGTGGCTCCTATCTGCTGAGTCTTTCATCAAACACTGGTTTGTCTTTTATCTCTTCCCTATTAGAAATGTTGGCAGGAATGCCAGCTCGGAGTTGTTTGTCTCAAGTTGCTATGTGTGAAGCTAGAGGTGGGTGTCTGCAGAGAATGGAGTGTGTTTAAATATCGTGCAAGAGCAGCATGGCTAATCTGTGGAGTTTACATAGATTAGAAGACTATCTAAAGAAAACATGGATGAAGACTTATCGCTAACAGTGTAAAAATGATAAAGTAGGAAAACCCTCAGGCAGTGTTACATGTAGCAGGCGGATCTCTCTACTTGCTCAGAACACTTGGGTTCACATGAAGCTTTAGTTTTAAGGGTTCATTGCAGTTTGGTGTAGATCCTCTCTCTCCTCTCCAGGAGCTATACCTGATGCCCACTGCGAAGTCACCTGTTGATATCTGCTGGTGCTGCCTCATTTTTCTTGGGCACAGGAGACACTTCAGCTGCTCCTACAGCTGTGGGAGCTCCCAGGCTCCAGTGGGAGCGAGGTGTTTGGGTTTTTTTTTATTATTATTTTCCCAGCTTAGTGCCATGGGCAGATAAGGCGACGATGGCCCTTTGAAGCCTCCCGGAGCCCCTGGCCATTGTCCCGGCCGGATGCGACGGAAGCGCCTGGCGACCGCTCCGATGTCCCTGTCCTTCCCGCGCGGCTGGGCCCAGCGGGCCGCGCYCCCCGCGGCCCTCGTCCCGCTCCCCGCAGCCTCTGCACCTCTGATAACCCCCCTGGATTTACACGGGCCATTTATCAGACACCGCTGCACGGCTCTACCCCCCAACTTGCAAATGAGGGGGTTGCAATGCAAAGGAAGCGATTTTTCCCTTTTTTTTTTCCTTTTTTTTTTTAACCCCAAACAATATCTGAGGATTTTTTTTCTCCCTATTCTATTCCTGCAAAAGGCTATTATGAGATATATGTTTGTTTGCACAGAGAAATGTTTTGCAGCAGAAATTTGAAATCTGAATTTCCTCACGGCTTCTCTTTTTTTTTCTTCTTTTTTTTCTTTTTTTTTTTAATTTTTTTTTATTTTTAGGCTTGATCTTGAGCCAGACTGTGCTAATTCCGATCAGATGTTTTAACCACATCTTTTTTCTTTCTGTCATGTTGAAGTTGTTTGCCATTTTACTGCAAAACAGCTCCCTTAACAAAAATGTGCCGTTTTAATACATAACAACCAGAGCTTCCACAAACTAACAGGCAATATTCTTTTCGTGCAGCTGGAGCACCATGATCAGCTCAGTATTTAACTATTTGCCTATCGCATTTATTTGCTTTTAGGTTTATGGGATGATTCTGACTTCATTCTTCTGCTTCTCCATCCACTTCAGCAACAACCTCGACCGGAAAGGCAAATACACCCTGCGAGAAAGGTAGGAATCTGCCAACCTGGATCCCTGGTAGGTAGAGCCAACTCTGGGCCTAGGAAGCTACCTGAAACAGTCTGCAGAATGGCCCAAGGAGGTGTTGCTTGGGGACAGGAGGTGGGACACGTCACCTCCTGGGTGGGACACTTATTCCAGTTGCATGTCTCCCTTTCCAGCACCTCTCGCTGCTGTGCATTGCCAGCGGACCACTCCGGATGATGCTTTGTGGAGCAGCAGTTGCCATCTCTTCTTGGAAAATGGACAAGGATGAAGGGAGGCACACAGCTGGGCTCGGGGATGCAGGTCGCCACGCTGAATGTGTGGTTGCAGCTCAGTGATGGAAAAGCAAGCAGCCTCCGAGTCTTCTTGCCTTAAGAAAAAGGAAAAACAAAAAACCCACATGAAAAAGGAAAGAGAAGAAAAATCCCAGCAASCCCAAACCACAGTCTGAACTAATCTGCCTCATTCAGACTTCTCCTGCATTCTCATCTGAGCAGTTTCTTGTGACCCCRAAAGATAGAACATTTCTAGGAAGACGGCTTTGGATTCCAGCCCAGGACAAATCTTTTGCTGTCAACAAATGTGTTTGCACTAAATGTGGCTCTGCTAATGGGAAATGTGTTCTCCAACCTGGATGCTAGTCATTGAGTTTGGGCAAGTTTCTAATCGTATTTATATATCTAGGCATCCAACAGCCATTGATGTGTTTCTTTGCTATTTTCCTCCCTAATTTCAAATATTACAGAGTTCTCTGTATAAACTAAGAAAAAAACATAGGAAACAACACATGAATTCTAAAATGTGCAACCAGAATACCACGTCTTTCTTAAAGCTGTCCATACTGTTTTTGATTCTTAGGATTCAGYCCATCTCTTGGGGCTTGATGATGCATCAGTTTTATATTGATTTGTTCAGTATATTGCCTCAGTTGCTTATTTATCTCTCTCCATCAACGTGACATGCTGTGAAATACAAGAGGGCTTTGATCCAAATGCAGGATTTGTGTTTAAAACCTGCAAGAGAATGGAACAGGTCTCCAGCCAGGTTGGCAGTAGTGGCTCTAATTCCACATCCTCAGTGTACCTCTTTATTGTTAATAGGGTTAAACTGGAATTTGGAAAATCTCAATYAACTGAAGAACTCAGCTTTTCATTCTGGCTAATCTGCTGGCTTCCTGTTGTGCTTTGCCCTTGTTACAAAGAGGTAGAACCACTTCTCACGTGAAAATTTACAGCAGATTTTCTGACAGGAACTAAATCTTTGTGAAACGGTTTTGAATTAATAGCAACTTTCTGAAGTTTTCCTTCACTTTTACCCATGGAAACCAGTAAGTGGCATTTTTTTTCTCTCTTTAAACAAATGAGGATACTCCAACGTTGATGTCCAGAGCAATTTCTGGCCCTCAGACRTGCAAGCTACGCATGTAGAAGCAGCAATACAGCCTACAGTACCTTCCCTTACTTGGTTAGCATTTGAACAACACTGCAACTAATTCGTGTGGGGAAGAACTGCCCTAAGGGAGAAGAGGCTCTAGGTCCTGATGCTGCTTCCTCCTGACGTGGCTGGAGGCAGGATCAAGTTGGACAGCTCGGAAGCAGTGCTCAGCTAGTCACCAACATGCCTCTGTCTAGCAGGGGTTTAGTAGTAATATGCTTGCCCTAGCAACTGTACATCCAAGCATACCCACTTTCCAGCAGCAGGAAAGGACTTTATATATACATATATATATATATGTATATATATTATATATATACATCTGTTGTATAAGACTCTAGCTGTTGTAGTCGAGGCCAACGCCATTGTCACCTCGCAGGCCAGCTGGCAGCTCTTGTGACTCACGGTTGTTTCAATAAACACGGGTTTCTTGCACAAGGCCCTTGTTCTTCCTCCCTTCCCACCGTGTACGTGGATGCCCAGCTCACTTGGGTGTCCGAGTGATGAGCAGCAGTCGGTGYAGAGGGGAGCCCAGTGCGCCCGAGCAGCGGCGACGGCCGCGTGCAGCATCCCGAGGAAGAGGAGCCGCTGGCAGGAGCTCCTTGGCCACCGCCGCTTGGCACTGACCTCATCGGCCTCCCACCACCAGCGGCGGGCTGATGTGAGGGCAGTCATGTCCCTCGCGAGCCGAGGCAGGAGGCCAGGCTTAAAGACACGTTTGAGCAATGAATAAAGAGCGGAGCGTTTGTGTAGAAGGCATCTCTAACGACCAACTGGAACATGGACCTTGAGTGGGGTTGTGGTTTGGGTGCTTAAGTTTTTTAAACATTGAGTGTAGAGGTCTTATTTACCCCTTTTGTAATACTATCCAAGTGTAAAACTAATGCTATTCTGCCACATGAAAAATTGGAGGTTGATCGAATATTCTCTATCATGAATGTGCCCTTCAAGTCCAGTAGGATAAAAGATGCCTTTTGTTAAAACTTTAACATTGTGATTAGCAGCTCTACATGCTCCTCCTTCCCACACCAAATTTCCCTGTAATGTGGTGAATATGGGCAGGAGTCACCTGTCTGTGGTAAATAAACAGGAAAGGACTAGAATCGCCATTCCCTCCTCTCTTTTCTGGAGTCCTTCGTCATCACTGGAACCTCAGAAAAGCAGGTAAGTTCCAGGTCTTGTTATATGTATGTGCATATTTTTATATTTATATATATATGAAAATATATGTGTGTGTACAGCTGCAGTCTTCACACCTGTGCAGTGTTTTCTGTGGCACYGGCCACAACGTGGCCTACATTAAGCTTATTCCCAGAGGAGCTAACAGGCCTGGAGCATGGATGTTCCTGAAGTGTTTGTCCTTCTGAGGCTCTCCTAGCCACTGAGGGGGATTTTTTTGTGTGTATGTATRTAAGACTTATTTGGGGTATGGGAAGGAAATGATCTAAACTTACATAAACAAATTGTCTTTGGGGGGGAAAAAAAAAAAGTAGTAATCCAACACTATATTTTTAGTATAAACTAAGAAGACTACACTCTGTATGTCAAAGTGCCAGCAGTTTCACGGTCTTTATTCCCATTTCACGTGTTTCATAATACCCTGGAATTTCCCTGCAAGGAGAACCAGTGACGCAGCGGCGCTCAGCGGGAGAAGGGGCCATTGGAGGCCCTTGCCATTAAAAAGCAGCCAGAAACCAAGTTGCAGTTACTTTGATTAATAATTTAAGTCATCTTTGGATGGCTTAAGGTTACAACCTGGTAGTTTGGGATGGACCTCTGCTCCATGGGGGTGTTGAGGATGCTATTTCCCAGAAAACAAAAATAGCATCTCTAAACACACAGAGATTGTTTTTGTTTTGTTTTTGGAGAAAAGCTTGACAGATCTTGATACTGGTGTTATTTCTAACAGGCACAGAAATGACGTGTTTTCAGAACTAGCCTGCTGTAATTTTCTTCAAGAAATGGAGCCAGAGGTAGATGCTGCCCCCAGGAAACTTCAGTTTGTGCAGATGAAGGTTGGGAGACGTTGCATCAGGTAGGACTGTGGGGAGAAGCGCAGGAGGAAGGTGGGGAGCCGAYGAGCAGTGCTGGAGGCAGAGGCTGTTTTGGAAAATTACACGTAGTGCTTGTTTTACAGCCCTGGAAGTGGCTGCCAAACCCATGACTGGTTACAGGCCTGCGCGCSAGGCCGCTGTTGCCTGCGCTCCAGGTTGCTCCGCTCTCCGACACACTCAGAACCCTTAAGGTTGGAAGGGACGTCTTCCCGCGACTCCCAGYGCAGAGCCCTCAGAGAGGCGCCTCAGTGGGCCCCATGGGGACAGCAAGGCCCGCTCCTGCCAACCGCTCGTCCCCTGACAGGGAGCAGCCATCCAAAGGCATACGGAGGGCCAGGAAGCGCAGCAATTTCCAAACAAAACAGCTTCTTGTGCTCGGGGTGCCGTTCCCTTCCACTGCTGCCCCCGTGTCTGCGAGCCCTTACATATGGCCCCTGGCTGGTGGACGTGCTCGTTTTCTTCTCCAYGTTACGTTAGCGACATGCGATTCCCTCACAGGCTGCCCCGGCCTGCTCATGAATTACACATCTCCRCTACAATAGCGGCTCTGTGGCCTCGCCGCGCTCCTCCTGTCGCCCGGCCGAGCTGGGAGCGGAGCATCCCGCAGAGACGCGGCCGGCCCCAGCTGCGCCTTGGCCCTGCGCGAGCGCCCGCCTTCCCCTCAGAAAGCAGGGGCGGGCGAGGGGGGTCCGCCCGGCCTTGGGAAAGCGCCTTGGGAATTCCCAGAGGTTCCTGTGGACCTCTGGGAATTCCCGGAGGTTCCTGTGGACCTCTGCTGTCCAAGGATCTCCTCTGCTTCTGCAGGTCGCCTGCCTACATGGGTCGAGCGCTTCAGGAGGAGCTGGTGCTCTTTCTCCCCAGCACCCTCCCTGTGTCCTCCTCCTCCTCCTCTTCCTCATTATATAACTCTATCCATCACCATAGATACGTTGATATAAATATTTAAATATGGCAGACCGGCTGCGCAGGCGGGAACCATTTGCTGGGTTTATTAGAAACAGAAACTTCAGGCGCAGCTACAGGTTTCTGCTAGGCTCAACCCTCCGGAAGGCTGGGGGGGAAGGAAAAAAAAAAAAAAAAAAGGAAGAAAAAGCACAAGCTCCTGTGCTAAAATGGTGCTGCAGCTGGATTTGCAGACTGGGAAAAGGGGATTTGCCAACCCGCCTTCCGTCACTCCCTCCAGAGGACAAAAAGCTTTTGCTGGAAAATCTTGGATCTGCACATGAAACCTCTTTTATTCTTTATATTTTCTTTGCAAATGAAAGCAGTGTCTGAAGAGGTAGCACTGCCYATGTTAGCCCTCGCTTTCCTCTGCCCTAGCAATGTCTCCATGAGTCCTCCCTCCCTCGCTCCRCCGGCCGCTCCAGGGATTTTTGGGATGGCGCCGAGGGGCCGTTGCTGGACAGGCCTCCTGCAATGCAAAGGGCTGGTTTTCTCATGGTCTTTGCGTCACTTTGCGTGAGTAATAAGCTGTACTTGAAYGTCTCTAGTGCAGCTGCTCCTGAGGTGATGGAGCTTCCCCTGCTCGGCTGCGCAGGCCCAGGTGGTGCAGCTCGCCCCGGCGCGGGTCCCTGCCCCGCCACGTGCTGCTCTCCGACCAGGAAATTAGTCCATCTCTCATATTTTTCACAGAAAATAAGATCTGGCGATGAGAGCCAGCTAGCCCTTCACCCACAAAACAAACACGTATTTGAGCTGGATGTTTTTGCAGGGGGGTGTTTGGCGGTGACACCCTCCRTGCTAGCTGGGAGGGAGGCTGGGAGAGAAGGAGGGGAAGCCGTGGGAAGCGAAGATGTGCAACCACAGCTCCGCATGGATCCGGGATCCCATCCACGTGGGCAGAGAGGAGCTTCGCCCAGCCCTCCAGTTCCCTGGGGGCACCAAGTGTAACGTCGGTGTTTAATTTAGTGCCAGGCACGATGATAACTGCTTCAAGCCCCCGAGCYAACCATGCTGCGGGCCAGGGGAAGAAACAGGCTTATCTTCCCCGTTTTTATTTCTTTTTTTCCCTTTTTTTCACCCCTGGAAGGGCTGCAGAGGCTCTGCCCCCAGTGAAACGGGGCACCCCAAGGCCCCTGCAGCACACAGCGAGGGGCTCTGCCTTGGGAACGCGTCCTCGGGAGGCAGCTCCACTCGTGTTTGCTTTAGCAGACCCAGTGACTCATACCCATGGATGTCAACTATGCTGAAACCCACAAGCATGACACTCGCTTTTATAAACAGCATCCAAAAAAAAAAAAAAAAAAAAGCAGCAGACAGAGGAAAAACACTGCAAATATCTCTGGGCACCGCTGCTTCACTCTGTTTGAAGAAGCAATTGCAAATTTTGGGGGGTTGGTTTTCGATTCTGATCTTGGATTGTTCTTTTTTTTTCATGTTGTTGTTTGCCTGTGTTTCATTTTTTTAGACCCTGGTTTAAGGTTCCCATAGTCTTGGCAATGTGAGGCTTTCAAGATGGGTCGTTTTTTCTGGGGACTTTTCTGAACTTGCCTGACTTAAGTGTACACAATATGCACTGGCACTTGCATCAACTGCATTTTTTGGTCACGTTTTTGGTGCTGTGTACGTTGTACAGTAAGTGRTACAACGACGTACGGCATGAGTATTCAACAGCTGAAGTTGTATTCAGTCGTGGGAAACCGTGTATGTTGTTTTGACACTTTGCCATGATTTATTTCTGTATGTTAAGGTCAGAGTTTTCAAGCACAGCCTACTGAGCTGTTTAAAAACGTATATCTAAATTTTAGACAAAACTTGAAATCGTTTTCCACTTGCGAGTTTTAGCGAGGGCTTTGTTGGTGTGGCCAGATGTGTGACCACAGCTCAGACCCGTTAGGTTTTAGCCCATAACTGAGGACTTGACCAGTGTGTCTGTTGAGGGCACTGTGCTGCTGCTTTCTCTTCCCCTCTGGTCCTCGCCATCGGGGCAGAGATCTGCYGCTGGAGCTGTGGACAACACACGGCCCACCATAGACTAAAGAAAGATCCCATATATAGGACTGTGTCAGCTCTAAGCTGAATTATTTATTAATACAATTTTTCAAAGTCCATAAAGTTTTATTTTATCTTTGCTAATTTGCTTTCTTTTTTTCTCTAGTATAGGGAAATGAAGTGAAAGAAGGCAAGGACAATAACAAAGTCTGAGCTCCCTTGAAACAGTTTAAATGCAAAACTTGTGGCCGTGATCATGGTTGGGGTAGCTGCCTGTCTCCTGCCTGAAAACCAATCCAAGAATGTCTCTCCATACTGAAATCCTCTTCGCTAGACATTTGATTTATGTTCTTAAATGCTTTACAGTTGGATCCTTCCTCTCTCTTTCACAAACTTTCCAAAATTGTGCCTCTGGGAGTTTGAGGTTTTGCATTTTTTTCCTTTTTGGAAACAGCCATCTACACACATGAGAAGTTCCTGGGTTCACATGGGCTCTGCGAGGCCGTTTGCTACCGAGTTACATATTTCTGGTGCTCTTGGGAATCCGGAATTTGAAATATAAGTGTCAAGCTCCTCCTGCTATAGGCGCTTTGTCCAGTGTTATCTGCTTAGCTCTTTTGCACTGTGAACTGTGTTTTTTGCAGTCGAAATGTTTTTGTTTTATATTTGTAGCTGGAAAAGATGAAGGTGATGCAGATGGCTTAATCGGGCTGGTCTCTGCACGTCATTTATCTCTCTTGCTGCTGGTGGGTATGCTGGGAAGTGTGGCCCAGTGGTTATCTTAGGAATAGCCCATGATTTAAGTCCATACTCCCACAGCTTCTCCRTGTTTTTGAAGGCATCTCTTTAGGCATCTCATCCAAGWGGTYGCTCTAATTGCTTCCTCTCTTTGCYACTGGAGATGCTTTAATCAGATCCATGCCAGCTCCTTCCCTGCTGGAGCTGGTGATTTGTGCAGGAAAAAGGACGTTGTGGGATCCCATGGTACAGCATGGGAGCCGCTTCCGTCTCGTGCCCATCCCTTTCACCTCTGCACTGATTGGGACACTCTCCCCCCCYGGGATCGGATGGATTGTATGGATAATTTGGGATAGCAGCTGTGTGCACAAGCAGCCGTGCAAACCTCTGGCTCCCTGGCAGGGTTGAATGGGCGGACGCAGAGCCAAGACAAAGGCAACGCGGGAGGTTTTCGGCACCGGTAATTGGGGAACCGGCCCCTTTCTGGGGGCCTCTGCTCCCCCTTCTGTAGAGAGCAATTGATGGGCTATTAATGGGTGGTTTAAAAAGGGGGGAAAAAGAAAAAGTCATGAAGGAAGGTCCAACGGGAAAGGCAGAGTCCTRAAACAATTCAGCCATGAGGGTGATGGGGGGGATTTGGGAACTGYGTTGGCTCATCTTCCATCTCTGTGTGTAGAAAACGTTTGCTCAGCTATCAGATTGAATTCCCACGTTCGGGAATTGCGGATGCAATCACAGCCTTCAAACTCCAGACTCCAAATCTGGTACCCCACATGGTTTGGTTAGAGGAAAGTGTCCGGGCAAGGAATGAGGTCGTTTTCCAGTTAGGATTGTGCAAACAGCAGCTGTGCCGAGGGCGGCTCCTGACGCCCTCCGAGGCTCTGATCCAATTGCCTCGTCCCCTTGCCAAGAAATCTGCCAAGGCACGAGGGTGCCCCTCCGAGCATCCCGAGACTGCTGCTGCACTGTGGATGTTGAGCAGAGGCCTGTGGAAAAGCCCCAGCCCCTGTTGGCCCTGCTGCTAATTGCTGCCTTTCCCCCGCTGTGACTCGGGAATCCCAAAGGATCCCAAAGGCAAAGAAGTCCATAGAGGAGAACACCAAGCCAGGCGGCGCGGTGCAGGGCTGGGGATAGGGTAGCGGGCAGGACTGCGCTTTGGGAAGGGGAGGATGGGGGAATTTCACCCTGCTTGCGCTGCCYGGGGTTGGTTTTGGCTGCAATTTTTAAGCCGCGTTACGCCGGGCTTGGGCAAGCTGAAGCTGTCAACACGCGTGACCCAAATCTCTTTGGGTGGAAATCCCGTCGACGCTGGTGTGACCCAGTAACTGAGACCCCGCTCCTGGGCGGCTCTGCGGAATGCTGGCTATGGGCTGCTGCCGAAGGGGGGGGAGGAAAATAATAACTAAAAATAAAAAAATAAAAATAAATAAATAAAAAAAGAAACAGGAAAGGGGGGAAGAGGGGAAAAGGGGAAAATAATTATAAAAAAGAAACAAGAAAAGAAAAAAAAAAGGAAAAAGAAAAAGGCGAAAGAGCTCGTAAGATCCAAGCTTGGAAAACAGAAGACTTGGGGAAGGAGTGAGGGAAATGCTTTTCTGAATTAAAATCTAACCCGGAATCTATTAAAAAATATGAACCTAGGGATACTTTGTAATGCATTATTATTATTAACTATTATTATTATTTATTATTATTTTGCAGGCGTTTTCCCTTTCTTTTTCCTGCAGGCTTCTGGCCCCTGGAGCCGCCGCCGCCGGCCCGCGCTGGAGGAGGAGGAGGAGCAGGAGGAGGAAGAGGAGGAGGAGGAGCGGGGAGGAGGAGCAGCAGGGCCGGGGGCGGCGCGGGAGGCGCCGCGTTATCTCCGCGCGCGCCGCCCCGGCAGCGGCAGCAGCGGCGCGGAGCGGAGCGGAGCGGAGCCGCCATGGGGGTGGAAGGCTGCACCAAGTGCATCAAATACCTGCTCTTCGTCTTCAACTTCATCTTCTGGGTGAGCCCCGCACCCGCCGGGGGGGCGCGCAGCTCGGCCTCGCTCCCCCCCTTAGCCCTTCCCCCCCCCGGGGTTGCTTTATTTTATTTTATTTTATTTTATTTTATTTTATTTTATTTTATTTTATTTTATTTTATTTTATTTTATTTTATTTTATTTTGCTTCATTTTATTTTATTTTGCTTCATTTTATTTTATTTTATTCTACTTCATTTTATTCTGCTTCATTTTATTCTGCTTCATCCTATTTCCAAATCCGATGTGGCCTGCAGATGCAGCTTTATTCATTTATTTATTTATTTTCCCCCTCGTTTTAAAATACACAGAGGCGTATTTTGCTAAATATGTGTGCATATCTGTGTATGTTTTTATATGTATAACGTGTGTGTGTGTATGCGCATATATAAAGCCCAAAGCTGCATCCTTTTCCAAGAACGAGGGGAGTAGCCTCCTTTTATTTATATATATATATATAAATGTATATGTATGCAAGTGTGCATGCCTCTGTGTGTGTGTATATATATATATATTTGTGCATGTATAAATATAGTGCTATAGATAGATTTTTATTTATTTATTTATTTATTTATTTATTTCCTCCYCCTCATCTCYTGTATCCCAGCCCGGGCGGTGCTGGGAGCCCAGCACCCCACTCCCTGCCCCACGGAGGGGTGCCAGGAACAAGGAGCTGGGTAGAAGGAGAGGGTTTGGTGCTGCAGGCTGGTGCCGAGGGCGCTTAGGAAATGGGTGCGAGTTGGAGGGCGAGGGAGGGCGCGAGGCGCAGGGAGGAGAGGCGCCGGGCGCGCGCTGCTTGTGCGTGGAGAGGTGCAGGGTGCCCGGAGCGTGGGCGCCTTGGGCTGCTCCCGCTCGCGGGTGGTGGCAGCGCCGCGGGGCACGGAGCGGGTCTGGAGCATTGCGCCTGCCGTCGGATGTTCCTGGGGCACGTGGGGTTTGTCCCCCCAGAGGGGAATCTTCACAAGTTAATTCGTGGGGATCGTGTGGGGAGCGTGGCGAAAACCCTCCCGTCTCCTGGTTTGCGCCACACGATGGGTAGGTTTGTCCTGGCTGCGACCACCCTGGAGCGGAGAGGCGCCYGCTCCCGGCGCTTGCTGCCCTCTCGTGCCCCTCCCGGACACCCTGCGTGGCCGATGGAAGCGGCTCGCGGAGCGGGAGCGACGCTGCCGCCCGGCGCGCGCCTCGCACCGATCCCTGTGCCACTGCCCGCCGCGAGGGAGCCGCCAGCCTGCCCGTTCCCAGCGCTTCCCGTAGCTCCGGGTCGGCGGCATCTCGAGCCCTTGGGTCACCAAGCGCCCAGGGAGGGAAAATCTGGTGTTTTTATATATATATATATATATATATATATATATATATATTATTGTTTTATTCCTAAACGGGTTTTGTTGTTGCTTGGAACGTCCTCTCCGGGTGCGGGCAGTGCTAGAGGTGGCAGCCGGGGAGGTCAGGATGGATCCCCAGCCCCACCCAGGGAAAGCCGAGTCCCCAGAACTCCCTGCCCAGCACATCTGCTGCCTGCTTGGACGGGAAGCACCCGTTCCACAAGCCTTTGGGAGGAATCTGGCTGTTCTTTTCGCTCCTGYGCCGAGGACCCCAGCCAGGAGGGCGAGGGAGCCCCGAGGAGCCCCGTGGGCTGYGCTGGGCCCCGCTCGCCCGCGCGCTGCGGCTCCGTTAGCCTTTCCCAGGGTACGTGGAGCAGCCCTGGCACTGTCCCATGGCCCTGCCACGGAAACCTCCGGACACGCGGGGCCTGTTGCTTCGTGCCCTCCCGAGCTGCCGAGTCCGGCCGGAGCTCAGGCTCGCTTGAGGCCACCGTGCAGCTCTGCGGTTTTCCCTGGCGTGGTTTTGGGCGAGGGGAAGATGACAAGCTCTGATGGTGATGTTAATTGATGCCTGATGATACCTGCAGCACAATCCTATTTTTTTAACCATTTTTTCCTCCCTTAAAATGATGGGCTAGACATGCATAGTCTCYTCTCCCAAGTCCTTGCCTGCAGACTCTCAGCATTCTCCTTGTTCCTCCCAAGTTATCATGCTTATCCAGGGGCTCTTTCTTTCCTCCTTGTCCCAGTTTCCTGCCATTCTTGTCGCAGAAGCCGCCTGGTGTAGCTGCAGGGGAAGAAGGGCCGCCTAGGTGACAGGGGCCTGGCCGGAAGGATGTGCGAGGGCTCTGCACAGCTATTGTTCCCGAGCTCGCTCGCCACGACCTGCGTCGCGTTTGCAGAGCAGCTGCTGCTTTAGAAACTCGGGCTCCGAGAGGAACGCGAGATCCTTCCTCTTTCCTTGCTGCCGCTTTTGATGCCTGCCCTACCCAGGAAGCATCCTGATAGTGTTAATTCCCTGGAAGCTTCAGCAAAGGATCCCTCCAGATTCTTTCAAGGAGAGGTGGGGAGTGTTTCTTGCATCACACATGGTCTTCTCTTGATCACCTTCTCACAGCATGAGAGAGCAGGGGGTCTGCTCTTACTTGAGTTTTAATGGAAGCGCTTTGTGCAAAGGATTCTTCRGGAGTTGTAGGCGCAGCGTACTCCTAGGAGCCTAATTTCCCCAGGGTATTTCTGGAAGGTGCCTGTAGTTTTTCCTCTAAGCTCCAGCCTGGGCTGGCACATTTCCAGTCGCCTTGGAAGGTGCAGGCGGTGGCTCCGGCAGCAGCAGGAGGTCTGTGCTGTGCAGCAAGATGGTCCCGCAGGGACTCGGGCTTTGCGTGGGCGCCGGGGAGGCGGCGGCAGGTTGAGCGGCTCCGGCCGTGCCCCGCAGCCCGTGCAGGCGGCTGCTGGCACCCCGAGGAGCCGCCTGCGCCCGCAGCGAGCGCAGCGGCAGCGCGTGTCCGCCCGCGTGTCTGGGGAGGGAGCGAGAATAACCCTCGCCTCACTCTTGGGCTGTCTTTCCRTGATTACCCTGTTCTCATTGCGCTAGCTGTCTCAAGGCTGGCTTTTCCCTTTGTTACTAAGGCTTAATTTGCTGGGAGCCGCTTTGTCGCAATTAATGGCGCTTTCTGAGCAGCCGGCGAGTTCGGCCGTGATTGAACAACGGCCCTTGCAACACTCGTGCGTTCTTATTTCAGCCTGCGGCCGAGGGGAATTCTAGGTGTAGCAGTCAGCAGCTGCAGCCAGCAGCCAAACTGGTATTTTCTTCCGGGGAGGGGTGCTGCTCACGGCCTTATCCTCACGCTGCTCTTTCCAGAGGCAGCAGTTGCACGGAGACGCCCCGGTGCCGGCGGCCGAGCCCTGCGCCGCCRCTTGCCGGTGCCCCCTGGATCGAGGCCGGTGCCTGGCGTGGGATTCCCGGCGCCCAGCTGGTTAATACGCGAGGGTCGTTCCGCTCCTCCCGCTCATTTGCCCGGCCTCTGCTTTGCCCTGTGCTGAATCGAGGCCAGGGGGTGTTGGCAGAAASGAGCGCGGGGCCGAAGCAGAGGTTTGGCAGGCGCTGCACTTGCTCAGCATGCTAAAAAGGAGCCCGAGACGGTGCTCGGGAGGAAGAGAGGAAGCAATTCGAAGCCTCCGCTGYGTTAACAAGTGAGCAAGAAGCGGCGATAAGGTTTTCAAGGAGTTCTGTTGTGCCGATGGTGGGTAAATAAACTGACCCCCCTGCGGTTTCCTCCCCCTCTGCTTGCCCTGGCAGCGCCGGGGAAGCTGAACAGAGCCCTTGTGTTGGAAAGCGAAAGGAGAGCTGGCCCCGGTGCCAGCYGCCCCGTGCCAAAGCAGCAGCCGCCTCCGCGGGAGCCTTGGGGGCTCCTTCTGCCAGGGCCCCTTGTCCATCCGTCTGGAATGCAAAGGGCTGGGCTCGCTGGAGGACGAAGAGCAGCGCCTCTGGGCAGCGTTCAGTAGACCTTGTGMCTCGTTTCGGAGAAGAAACCATCCCGTGGGCTGCCAGCAGCAGCCRTCGAGCAAAGCGGTGCAGGAAGCCAAGGGTGGCGACGGGAGAGCTCGTGGCACCGGGAGGGCGCCTGTGCTGTGCCAGAAACTGAATGCTTAACCCAGGTACCTCTCTTTTCTTAAATCCTGGTGTGCACGGCTCAACCAAGCAGCATCTTTGGGGTGTTTTGAGAGGTATGGAGGAACCAAGGGGTTCTGGAGTTCTCTGGATATCAACACAGCTAAGCGAGTACCTTTGGGTTGGCTGGTTAGGTTCCCACAGGCCAAATGGTGGGCATGTGAAACACCGTCCTGCGTGAAGGCAGCTGGACACCGGCTCCTGTGCTGCCAAAGAGGAGCTTTTCTCAGACAAGGTCAGTGCTGTGGGCACAGAGTTCTGCAAAACTGAAAACTGCAAAACTGCTCTTCCTGTCCCACCCTGGGTGGCTGACGCCGACTTGAGCAACCTCTGAAAGAGACGTTTCACTTCTCCACCTTGCAACACATGGAGAAGAAATGGTGCCAGGTCACTTAGCAGCCGCTTTGCTTCAATCTTGAAGCACTTTTGTAGGGTGGACGGTCCTTGCTCGTCACTCTGGAGCTGGTCTGGGCTGGACGCTTGGTGGGGCTGAGCTTTTTGTGCCCCGTGCTTTTTGCTGTGCCCTGGGCAGAGTCGAGGGCGGACAGGTTGGGCTGCATCTACTTCCCTGAATCAGTCAGATCTGCTGTGCAGCGTGTGCAGGGCCGCTCTGTCTGCAGCCCTGCTTGAGCTGAGCACCGCTGAGAGCCTCCCTGGAGAGGCTGAAGAAAGCCAGAAGCCAGAGAAGTATTTTAAATATAATTAAGCCTAACCAAGGAGAAGTTGTTGGGCTCTGAGAAGGATCACCCCGGCTTATTATCTAATACAGCCTGTGGCAGCCCTCCAGATTCGGAGCGCTGCTGCTGCACTGCCGGAGAGGTGTCTAATTAAAAGGAAGAGCGTGCTTTGAATCCCGTTTTCCAGACAACACGTAATTGTTGTCTCTTGCCTGTGTATGTGGTGTGGGAGAGTCCAAAGGGCATTTCCCGATCTGGCAATTGCCCCCCAGAATTTAGAAAGCAGGTGCTGAGGTATTTTGCTTTAGTGAATGGG